TAAAACAAACCCCATCGTTCACTACGGCACGGTTTCTTAAAGCCAAACCTTCGCAAAACGAGCTCACAGGACGCTGCAAACAATAGTAAATGCAGCCATTTGCAGCTGGGGTTATGTGACTGTAGGAGGGGGGGCAGGGGGGAAATGCTCTGAAGTCTGCTACTGCTTCGCTACTAGTTTGCTCCATGCGCACAGGCGCATTGCAGGAACTAGCGCCCAGCGCTGAAAAAGGAGGATTAAGAAGGCTTTTCTGGGTCTGCAAAGGTAAGTAGAATAGCGAGGTGAGGGAACAGCTGTGCTGCACGATTTATATTTGCTAGGAAGCAGGATCTCCTGCTTTCTAGCGAATATTTCTAGCGAATATAAATTATGCAGCACAACATTGTCCAAAAGCTGATCGTCGGAACTATTGTTAGTTAAAAAAAATGCTTTAAAAAGGTTCAATGATCAATTGTGCGACAATCAGCTGTTCCACATGATTTCTAGAGAATATAAATCATGCAGCACAGCTGATTATCCTGCACAACTTGCCCAAACCAGTAGTAAAAAGATGCTTTAAAAAGTTTCGACGATCAGCTGTTCTACGCGATTTCTAGTGAATATAAATTGCACAGCTGATCATTTGAATTACCAGTTCGCCCAACCTGGTAGCATTTTTAACTACCGGTTTGGGGCGAACCACCCCAAACTGGTAGCATTTCACCCCTATGGGGGTGGGGCAATCCTCGGAACTTCAAATCTAAGAAACCGGTCATAAGTCGAAGACTACCTGTCAAAAAAAGAGCTTGTTGCATTTTGATTTTAATTTTTTCCTCCCTCTTGTTTTAAAGATGCGCCAATATTTATTTCTCAACCTCATTTCCTAAACGCTGATCCGGCTTTATTGGACACGGTAGACGGTTTGCATCCGAATGAAAAGGATCACGATCTGTTTGTCGATATCCACCCAGTGAGTTTGCCATTTAATCACCAATTGGTGGTTTACGGCTGTTAATCAGGGCGATGATTGCCGGTTCCAAATGTTTTATCAATCCTTTTGCTCAAAACAGGACAGGCAGGTACAATTCCGGTGAGGTTCCCTGCCCATTTCTTTCAACTTGATTAGCCCTGTTTACATTTTAAGGTTTGATGAATCTGAAAAGAATTATTATTTTTAAAAAGAGGGGGCTGATTTCCACATTGTGGGTGGAAATTATTTTAATACTAGCTTTGTCATTTTGGAAAACATCCCTTTCTTGAAAGTCTAGAAGCATCACTTTGGTTTTTATTATGATAATGGTCACCATTGTTTTTTTTTTCATATTTGCAATTGCTGCCTTATATTTCCTTTTTAAAAATTCATTGTTGTGCATTGCCCACAGTCAGCTTCGGTGAGCAGCCTGGTATAAATTTGATTAAATAAATACTTCAAATGCTAATAGGCAGGAACTTGCCTTTGCATTTGTATTCTAAAAGAAAATAGCTTGAGGGACTAGTCGTATCTTTGCATGCAAATTTAAACAACAAAACATTTATTTGCTCCACCTATTCTTGCCTTTGTTTTCGAAACTGAACAGCTAATTTAAAAGATCCTTCCCTACCAGGTCATAAACAGTTTTTAAGTGGTGGCTAAAGGTCAGTTAGGGATGTGGTGGCTCAGTGGCTAAGATGCTGAGCTTGTTGATCGGCAGTTCAACAGTTTGAACCCCTAGCGCCATGTACCAGAGTGAGCTTCTGTTACTTGTCCCAGCTTCTGCCAACCTAGCAGTCCGAAAGCGCATAAAAAATGCAAGTTCCGCGCGCCTTTGGTGTTTAGTCATACTGGCCACATGACCACGGAGACGTCTTCGGACAACACTGGTTCTTCTGCTTTGAAACGTAGATGAGCACCACCCCCTAGAGTCAGGAACGACTAGTAAAGATGTGCGAGGGGAACCTTTACCTTTTAAGGTCAGCTAAAGTTTTCAATGGACTTTGGGGTGCAATTGGAGAAACCCAGGGAAATCTTTGTCGGCAATAAATAGTCTTTGCAATTGTTCTTGATTTGTGATTATTATTACTATTTCTTTTTAAAGATTGCTTGGCAATTGCAAGACTGAGTGACTAAATGATTAAATGAATACATTTTGTGGCTGCAAGAAGCACACAAATCAAGTTTGTTTCTCTGGATAAATTGGCCAAAAGAGGCTTGTAGAAAAAATGGAATCCTTACTTAGAGAGCCTCGTGATTAAAATCTGTGCGTAGGGATTTGGCTGTGAGAAAAGACCCTTGTGTGTTATAGAATAGAGAAGAATGAAGCTGGAAGGGTCCTGGGAGGTCTTCTAGTCCAGCCCCCTGCTCAATCATGAGACCCTATACCATTTCAGACAGGTGACTTTCCAAACTCTTCTTAAAAACCTCCAGTGATGGAGCCCCCGTGATTTCTGGAGGCAACTTCTGTTCCACTGGTGAATTCTTGTTCCACTGGTGAAGCTTCTCCTTAATTCCAGGTTGCTTCTCTCTTTGATTAATTTCCATCCGTTGTTTCTTGTTTCTTGCCTTCTGTGATTTTATATTCAGACACCGACAAACAGCAACTGCTTCTCACTTCATTTTTATTTATTTNTTACATTCCCTCCCCACTCCAGGGGAAGGATACTGTAAAATCTCCATTCCCTCCCCACTCTGGGTCCAGCCAGAAGTGGCATTTGCCAGTTCTCCCAACTACTCAAAATTTCTGCTACTGGTTTTCCAGAACCTGTCAGAATCGGCTGGATTTCCCCCATGCTTTGGGATGTACATTCCAGAGACTGTCTTGTGCTCCTTGCTTCATGACACTTCTTTTTCCCAGCTAAGCTATGCTATGCTGAGAGATAAGGAACCTTATTTCCATTTTTTGCTTGTTTTGCTAACAGAGATATCTGATATCAGGGTGTTTTCCTCTAACCGTGTCAGGATTAATTAATATCTGGAGCAGGAATTTTACAAAGAGGTGAATCATTCACAGCATGCCTTTTGCAAAAATCAGGTGCATTCTCTTCTAACGATTGAAACAACATCTCCACCATCAGACAATGAAATGCTCACTCCTGGCAACTCAATATCACTGGACTACAACTCCCATCATCCTGATTTTAAGCTTTCTTTTTTTTGGCCTGAGTAACACATAGATTATATAGTCCAACTGACTCTCAAAGGCTCAGGTCACCTTGAATGGGCAGCAATAGAAATCTGATAAATAAATAAACTATTTTTGCATCCGTTTCAGCAGCAGACCAAGAATTGTCTTTTATAAAGGAATCCAAGCTTCTGTTCCCATAAACCTGAATTTGGAGGCACATCAAAAATTTTGTTTTCATAATTTTTTCTGGGTAGATTGTTCTTTTTTGGGAGAGGGGTTTACAATGTGTTTTATTCAAAGTCTGGCTGCTATGGAAAACTTTCTGCTGGAGATCTTCTCCTTCCTAACAGCTCACCATCTTCCTTCCTTCCTTCCTTCCTTTCATTTTTTTTCTTTTCTCCTGTCTTTCTGTCTATCTTTTTCTTTCTGTCTCGTTGTTTCTTCCTCCCTTTCTTTCCTCTTTCCTTCCTTCCTTCCTTTCGTTCTGTTTCTTTTATTTTGTCTTTCTTCTGTGTCTCTTTCTTTTTTTTTCTTTCTTTCCTTCTTTCTTTCTTCCTTCCTAGGTAGAGGGAGGGAGGGAGGAAGAGAGAGAGGGGGGGGTAGATAAGGTAGACCATAACCTACCTAGGTAGAGGGAGGGAGGGAGGGAGGAAGAGAGAGAGAGGGGGGGGGTAGATAAGGTAGACCATAACCTACTACTAGATAAAGTAGAAGAATGTGGGTTAGACAGCATCACCGCCAGATGGATTCGTAATTGGCTGACCAACTGCATCTACACAGAGGGAAATATGCAGTGGAGTACCCCAAGGCTCTGTTTTGGGCCCAGTACTCTTCAACATCTTCATCAATGATTTGGATGAGGGAATAAATGGGGAACTCATCAAATTTAAAACGACCCTCTGAGCAAACCGGCAGTGACTTCCGCTTTGTTTGGAGGGTTGTTTTGACTGTTCCGGAGGCTTCAGAGAAGCCTCCTGAAGGTCCCTGAAGC